CGATTCTCACGGACAGCGAGCATTCCACTCTGTTGAGAGACAGGAATTAAAACCTCTTCTGAGCTCAGGTACCTGTGGCTCACACCTATAATCCCAGCTACTTAGGAGATCTGAGGATTGTGGTTCAAAGCCAGCCCAGGGAAGCAAAGTCTGTGGTGTGTGTGTGTGTGTGTGTGTGTAAGTCTGTGGTGTGTGTGTGTGTGTGTGTGTGTGCACTCTGGGCCTGGGCACTATCCCTGAGCTCTTCAGCTCAAGGCGAGTACCACTTGAGCCACAGCACCACTTCCAGTTTTCTGAGTAGTTTATTGGAGATAAAAGTCTCACAGACTTTCCTGCCCGGCTTTGAACCATCGTCATCCTCAGATCTCAGCCTCCTGAGTAGTATGATTACAGGCGTGAGCCACCGATTCCTGGCTCTGTGAGACTCTTATCTGCAATGAACCACCAGAAAACCAGAAGTGGCCCTGTGGCTCAAAGTGGTAGAGTGCCAACCTTGAGCCAAAAAGCTCAAGGACAGCACTCAGGCCGTGAGTTCAATCCCTGTACTGGGGAGCACATGCATGTGTGCACACATGTGCACACACCCAAACCCTACTCCAAGCACTCCTTTACCTGGCACCCCCCCACCCCCCATCCAGTGATAAAGGGGCGGGGGTGGCTGAGACTCCACAGATACAATGAGGTGATGATGGGGCTGCAGGGAGTAGTCTCTGGGAAGGGGAAGGATCTTTAAACATCCCCTTTGTGGGTCAGAGAGGAAGCATGGCTCACCTCCTGGCAGATGGAGTTGATATCAGCTCCTGAAATCTTGTCTGGCCGGGCCACATCTGCAGTAGGTAAGTTAAGGAATCCAATCCCTACAGGGCAGGGAGAATGCCCAGAGCTGAAACTCTCCCTATTGCCATCTTGCGCGCACACCCCTCCCATTCTCCCTCAGTCTCAGTATTCCCCTCCCCCCCCTCCCCGCCTGCTGACTCCTGGCACAGTCTGGTGGTTAACAAATTGGGCCAGGTGCTGGTAGTTGACACCTGTCATCCTAGCTACTCAGGAGACAGATCTGAGGGGCACGGTTCAAAGTCAACGGAGACAGGAAAGTCTGAAACTCTTAACTCCAATGAACCACCAGAAAACTGGAAGTGGAGCTGTGGCTCAAAGTGGCAGAGCATTAGCTTTGAGTAAAAAGAAGGCCAGAGCCAGGTGTCTGTGGTTCATGCCTGCCATCCTAACTACACAGGAAGCTGAGGTTTAAGGATTGCAGTTTGAAACCAGTGGGGCAGAAAAATCTATAAAAATCTTATCTCCAATAAACTACTCAGAAAAAGCCGGAAGTGGAGCTGTGGCTCAAGTGGTAGAGAGCTGGCCTTGAGGGCAAAGAGGCTCAGGGACAGTGCCCAGGCCCTGAGTTCAAGCCCAGATCTAGCACACGCACACACACACCAAAAACCCTAAACAAATGGGATGAAGTGATGCTCATTTCCCCTCATTTCCAGAACAGGATACAATCTTCCAGGTCGACCTCCTCAGAAAGGTTCATCTTGCTGGTGATGGTGGAGAAAATCAACCTCTTTTGGCGGCGGTCAGGGAGTGGAAATTCAATTTTCCGGTCCAGACGACCAGGGCGCAGCAGGGCTGGATCCAGGGTGTCTGCCCTGTTTGTAGCCATGATCACCTGGCATAGAAAGATATTTGACTTAGGCCGGGCGCTGGTGGCTCACGCCTGTAATCCTAGCTACTCAGGAGGCTGAGATCTGAGGATCGTGGTTCAAAGCC